TTCTGGAGATGGGCGTTTTTAGTACTGAATCTGTGACCTTCTTGTACAGGTGAAACTTCCAACGCAGCCTTGCTGTTATCTGTTGTCACTGAGCTAGTCATGATGTCTAAGACGCTAAAAATCTACATCTTTGCTGGTTTTGCTTTTCAGACATTAAACCTTACTAATCCTCATACATTTCGGGACCTGTCAAAGCCCATGGGAGCACAGACAGTGGAGAGGAAACGCAAGTTCCTCCAGCGCTACAATGAGGTGGAGAAGAGTGAGGGTGAGTGACTTAGGACATTAACAAACAGCAGAGGCTTGAGGCCCTCAGGCCTTTGGGGATGCTTATGAATCTCTTGGAAAATGTCACCCAAAAACTTTGCAGAACTGTGGCTAAGGGAAGCACCATGTTGAGGTGGTCCTCTCACTTCTGGATACAAATTGGTTGAGGATTTAAATAGAAATTAGTCCTGCACCTACTGATTTATGTGCCTTTTATTGCTGCATTCTGTTCACTTCCCTTGGGCAGGAAGAGAGGCTACAGCAAAAAGCAATATTCCCTAGAAAAGACTGTGCTGTTAGCTACGCTGCACATGTTAGTCTCATTTGTTAGCTAAGCTATATATATAAGACTGGTGCATGCAGCTTAGCTAACAGCGACTTTAAGAAAAGGAAACAGGATGTTGAGGCTGTTGAACTTTTGAGATCAAGACCTTTTCTGGCACTAATGGGGAAAGGGATGGTCTGGAAGGCAAAAGGCCTTATTGTTTCAGAAAATTAAATGTGGAAGGCAAAAAAAAGAACATACAGAGATGGTAGTAACTGTGCCCATTAAATACAAATATGCAAGGTGTGCTTTTGCTCACAGATCCTTGAACATATCTGCTTTAAAGACCTGCTACCTGTTTAGTTGTGCTATGGTAACTGGATGCTATGGGTTTGAAATGGTGATATTTTGCACTGGAATATGATTTCTGTCCAATTTACAGGAGACCTGTCAGCACAGTGCCATTACTGTACTCACTACTCATCAGCAATTATAGTGGCATCTTACCTGGTCCGAATTGAGCCATTTACCCAGACCTTCTGTTCTCTGCAGGTAGGGGGGCAAGATAGCTTCACTGCTACACCTCAGTATGAACCATGTAGCACATTATAGTGCTGTGTAATGTAGCGGGGCTAATTCTTTTGACATTTTCTATGGGCTCTAGGGTCAGCAAGGGCTCTCTGCTATGTCTGTTGAATTCAGTGAAAATATCTTAATGGGAGCATGATTAATGCCTGATGATCTTATTTGTTTATAAAGAAGGTTTATTTATTTTTGGTCCTGTGATGCCTTCTGTGAGAGCTGAGGCATATAGTCACTTAGACAATGTTTTACTATCTGTCTAAACATAAACTTCTGACTTTGGGACACATGAGACTTTCATGGTAAGTATTCTAAACTCAAGTGCCCATACATTAATGCAGCTATGGGCAGAACTTGGAGTTGGCTGTGGTGGCATAAAGAGCATTCCTGGGCCAGTTGAGGATGCACAAGTTCCAGTGGGTGGGGAATGATAAGGACCATGGAATCAGCTCCCTGACAGATAGAGAAGTGGAGAGAGACTACATCCAGTGCTCCAGAAGGAATATTTTATTTTAGCCTGTTCTGAACTTGGCACTCACCGTGGAATTGGATTTTATAGAAACTGAACTTTGACCTTACCTTTCCCTCATGGTCAGCATGGAGGGGCACCAAATTTCCTGACTGCCCCCTTCAGCAGGCAGTTGATGATGCACAAACACAGATGTGGGATTTCGCTGACAGTTGTTCCCATTATTTCTGTAATATGTGTTGTGTTATAGCAGGGTCTACCAGGAGGACAGATCCTTAAAATTGTATTTTTTTAAGGAGTCTCTTGCTGACATGTGCCTATCCTTACGGAGCAATGTGAGTGAGAAAACTAGGCCAGAAGATTCCACACTCAGGGACTTCTGTATGTATGGTGAGGGCTGGCCATGCCCTCTTAAGCTTTCCAAGCGCTTTGCTGTTGCGCTGGTCCTTTTTTTTTTTTTTTTTTAATGAACTAATACAAATAAAGTGCTGTGCTAATTAAGTAATAAGCCCTATGATAGCGGCTGTTGCCAGCAGTAGCTGATGGGTTAGTGAACCACCTGAGGCAATAGTTACCATTGCACTCTGTGAGCCATATGTTAGCTGCAGTCATGAATGACTGTGGAGCAGTTATTTCTTCTTGTAAACAACAAAGGCTGCTGTATCTCACTGGCACACTTTTCATGTATAACAAGTTCCCTGTCTGAGTAGCTGCTTTGGGGCTGCGATTACATGTGATTAGCAGGTAACCAGTGTTTTTGTGGGGATAGTTACATTCAAAGGCTGCTAAGAACTGAAGCTCTCAATTTTGTCTGGATGTGGATCCACTGAAACTGTTGAACTTCTTCCATTCTCATTCCTTTGCTCTTTATGTTAGTGCATGTTTAGCTGAGCTCATTGCTCTCACTTCGCCCAGGTGACTGGTCCTGTACTGGCATAGGTATTGCTAACTGTGAGACCTGAGGATTGTATGATCAAGGCAAGAGCAGGTTGGAAAATGAGTACTCCCAAACTTAAGACCTTGGAAGGGTGCTGAGCTGGGAGTTGTGAAGGCTCCTCAGCATCTTAAAAAGTGGAAAAGCAGTGCTTAGAACTGCAAACTGCCAGTCTGAATGCACAACAATGAAATGCAACAATTTGGGTGCACACCTTGTGAAAAATTGGTGTTGGCATAACATCCTGTTTTGCAAGATTTGCACATGACCACAGACGAAGGCAGTAAGGAAGCTTTGCTTCTAGTAAGGGAACTGTACAGGAGTTTAAAAACCTTATTATTTCATGTTTTATTTAAGTGTATTGAGATCTGACTCTGGAGAAATGTGTGTATGTGCTTTGCATATTGGGTGTAAAACTGCCTTGTCAGACAGGTGTCAAATGGTATCTTACACTTCACCTTTGTCAAGTGCCCCCCGAAATCTTTTCAGTAATTTGCCTCAGTATGACAAATAAGCAGCAAAGATTTCTGTGTTTAGTGTCTGTGTTGGAAAGGCATTCTAGGACCCCACACCCTCAATAATTAGTGAGACTCGCTTTTGATTCAGCTCTGCTTTTACCCCCTTATATTCTTATCCCACTGCTGTTGCATTTCAGTTAGCAGGCTGATCTTTCCTGACATTTACCTCTGATAGGTACTTACAGAGAAGAAGGTTCTTACTCTTCATTGTGTGCTGACTCTTGAGCAGTCATTTAAGCAGTCTGCAGGTAATTGCTTCTTAGCATCTCTGGGCATGTGATAAGACTTTGTACCTTCACAATCATCTCTTAGAAACACTTTGAGGTCTTTGGGTTTTAAAGCAACACCAAGTATCAGTGATGCTTAATTTATAAACATGGGAAGTTCTAATTTCTCTCTAGAGATCATTTCAATTAGTTTCTTTGTATATACCCTGCTG